AAGAGAATAAATAAAAAAATTTTAAAGTTTCAAGATTTAAAAATTTCAGAGTTTTAAGCTTTTTAAGATTGTAAATTTAAAAATTTCTAATTTCTAATGTTGAAGAGTTTGTAGAAAAAGTTGTGAAACAATTTACAATTTCAAAATTCTGAAGGTTCAAACTGCGAAAGTCAAAACTGTAAAGTTTTACACCAGAAATTCTCAGTCCTATAATTCAAAAATTGTAATAGTCCCAAAATTTAAGTGTATGAAAGTGTTACAATACAAAAGTTTCAGAATTCTAAAAATCTGGATTTCAACAAGGGTAAAGTTTAGCACAATGTCCCAGATTCAGAAATGCCAAAGTTCAAAAATTAAAAAATTCCCAAATCATACATTTCTACCATTGCAAATTATCGCGTTTTCACTATTTCAGTCTGAAGTCCAAAAATTGTAACATTTCAAAACCTTGATTGTTCAAAGATTCAAAGATTCAAGGATTCAAGGATTCAAGGATTCAAGGATTCAAGGACTCAATAATTCAAAAATTCGATTATTGAATGATTCAACTACTCAAATATTCAGAAATTCAAGAATTCAAAAGTTCAAAAATTTACAAATTCCAAAATCCTCAATTTCTAAATTGCCAAAGTTACCATTTTTGAACTAGTCCATATTACAAAATTTCAAAATTTCACAAAAGTCCAAAATTGGTAAAATTCCAAAATGTCAGAAAATTCAAGAATGTCCTAAAATCAAAAAATGAAAAAATTGAAAAGTTTTCACGTCTCGAATTTCCAACGTCAAAAAACGAACATCTTAAATTCCCAACATTTAAATATTGCATTTCGAAGAATTGAATTTCATTTTACAATTCATACCTTGAATTTAAATATTGGTACAAAAAGTCCTCCAAATATATTTTAAAAACCTTAATCCAGCCCATATAATACAAAAAGTCATGAAATTAAAAATAGTTCGCATCAAATGCAAAAAGCGAATGAAAAGAAAGAGAAACGACAAATTTTCCACGACGAATACATATTATCAGCGGCTTCAAAGAGACCTATTTACAATGTACCTATTACTTAACAAGCTACGTTACATAGTACGTTTATATTACGTTACACGTAATATTATACCTTTCTATAGGATATATACTAAATATATATCGTGCGTATACCCGTCTATACCTATACCTTAAAGCCACCCTCGTATCTCCTACAAGCCCTGTACCCCCTGAAAACAGACCTATTTACTCGTTTATATAGTATTTAACTCTTCTAAGCTATATATTTAGCATCATTTACCTTTATAATAATGCGTGAGACGTGTGTCCTAGAAAGTACGTACTTTGCCCGAGAGGCTCAACAGTGTCATTTTCGTAAGTAGACCAGATCTTAACATGCGGTTTATCTTTCTGTTACACCTTTGTAATGCTTTTTGTTGGGCCGGATTTTGGTTTCTCTTACGGGGAACGTAGCGTTGCGCCTCTAGATTGTGAGAACCCGTTTAGAAATTATGCGTTTTCCTTTCCCGTAAGAGTGACGGGCGCACACTACGCAAGTACGAACATATTCGAAGCAACAATAAAAGAAAAAAAAGAACGAAAAGAAACGAGATGAAACGAAAACAAAACGAGAAAATGTTCGCGTTCCTTGTCAAACGTTTCTCGTAACATTCTTTCTCTCTTTCTCTCTCTCTATCTCTTGGGAGCCATCCAGCAGCGGAGGAAGGATCAAAGAAATAATCGTAAAATTTCGCAAGAGTAACACACACTCGATGAAATTCAACGCTGTCAAAGCAATCGATGTGACGTAAATGTTAATCGGCCGGCAACTCGATCGTAAACTCGAGCGAAGAGAGCTTTATACGCTCCTCGAAACTGTAAGAGACTATTAATGTTAATGTCGTACGTAAACGTCTGCTCTACGTGAAAATCGATTTGTTGCATCTGAGAAAGTACACGTACATTATATTATCATTATTATATATGCATAATATATACATATGTCTATTAATAAATGTCCGTACGATTGTCCGCTATGATAACGAGAATGCATACGCGTTGCAATATATGCACGTCACAAATATTTATATATAAATAAATTAATATATGTCTATATATTCGAAAATTTATTAACGTGTTATATATATACATATATAGAAATCATACCTACGACGGTAAAATATGAGTGGTATTTAAATAAACTTGAAATAATATTTGGAGCGAAGTTTTCATTTGTTCGGACGGATATTCGAAAAGAGAGCAAATCAAATTCAGGCGAAAGAAACAAGTATGAACAAATAGAGAGAAAATAAAGAAAAATCAAATGAAAATATGTGACAGTGAAAAACGATAATGTTGTTGCGTGCTTGACGTAATCAAAACCAGCCCAGGTAGAGAGACATTAGGTACGAAATCACTAATACTATTAATATGTATCAGTGTATCTTTTAATGGCTAGAATAAACGCTCTTATACTTTTCCATCTGCGTATATTGTGAGAGCAGCGTCAATATGAACACTAGAATAGTGAAACAGTAGTGTAGTATTGTGGTCGGTGTTTATTTTCAATATTGTATCGTCGATATAAGTGTGGTAGTGGTGCCGATAATGTGTCACGCGTTTTAATGGAAGAGCTTGGAGCACAGTTGAATTCGGTGGGGAAAAGGTTTTTGAGGGGTGTAGTTGAGAATTTAGAAATTTGAGAATTTTGGAACTTGGTAATTCCATAATTTGGGATTTTTTGGAACTGTAGAGATTTTGGAATGTTTTTAAATGTAAAATTATAGCGATTTTGGAATTTGGAAATTTGAGAATTTGACATTTTTCTAATGCGGAATATAGTGATTCAGACATTTACAAACTCGGAAATTTGGATTTATGACAATTTAGGGACGTACAAATTTGAGAATATTTAAAATTTCAAATTTGGGAATACGCTGGTGCAGATATTTAAAAATTCAGAAATTTAGATTTCTGGTAATTTGGAAATTAAGGAATTATAGAATTTGAGATTTTTAAGGTATCGACATTTGGAAGTTTGCAATTGTCAGGTTTGAAAGTTTGAGAACTAAATTCACAGATTTCACAATTTAAAAATTTTTTAATTTATTTTCAAACAATAACAGATTTTAATATTTGAAAATATAGGACTTTTAACGTTTAAAAAGTAAAAAAATAATAATTTTGGATCTTGGAAATTGGAAAAGTAATTTGGTGATTCAGTATTCTTAAAATTTAGGATTTTGTCAAAATGGGGATATAGAAGGTTGAATTCTTTAATTTCTACTCGTGAGAAATTAGGGACTTATGAACTTGAAGATTTGGAAGTTAGTAATTATTAAATTTTGAAACTCAAATACTTGTTCATTAGTGAATTAATCAATTAGAAAATATTGAAATTTCAAAATTTGACGATTTTTGAGTTTGTCAATTTAAAAGCGAGGATACTTCAGAATTTAGTAATTTGAGAATTTGAAAATAAATAGTTGTTTTTAATTTGAGGATCTTCGAATTTATTGATTTTGGAATTTCAAATTAGGAAATGTAGACTTATCAAACTATTAAATTGCCAAATTGTCATATTATTAAATTGTCAAATTGTCGAACTGTTGAACTATGAAATTGTCAAATTGTCAAATTGCCAAATTGTCAAATTGTCAAATTGTCAAACTGTCAAATTGTCAAATAGTCAAATAGTCAAATTATCAAATTATCAAATTATCAAATTATCCAAATTATCCAAATTATCCAAATCAATCCAATCGTAAATTTTTCAAGTTCTCTAATTTAGGTAAAAATCCTTAAAATATATGTATATGCGCTGAATACGCTCTATAATTATCGCCATCGAAGTTTATATTATAAACCTACTAAATTCTAAATATTAATTAAAAAATTAAAGAACGTATAAAGCAACCGAATAATTAAGTATTAAAACGCCTTCCAAGTTCTCAAATATAAAATTCTAACTACAACAAACTATCAATAATAAAATACTTCACACATCTCTCGTCTCTGCACACATTCATCTGAATCTATAAAACACAATCCAATTATTTAATAATCCTACTTAAAAATTAACAAAAATTTGCTCCAGATGTCGCATCTTCCTCGCAATCGCACGACACATTATTGGCCCTTAGTTAATATCTAATAAGCTACATAGTCAGCCTAGCAAATATTACTTAACGGTAAATGATTAACCAATACCTTGAAGGCTATAATAACCATAGATCATAGGAGGGTTTATTTTGTCGTAGATTGGAAACACCTCGGCCGCGCGTAGTTACTAGTACCTTGTCACAGAATTTAGTCGATGCGCTACATAGTCGATGCGATATACATATATAAATAGTCAGAATCTTAGTTGTGTGGTCTTTAAAATTAGTATAAAATTATGAAATTTCATGGATGCCTTTCTTTCTCTCTTTCTCTCTCTATTTCTGTTCTACTATATTCCACACTATTTCTCTGTCTCTATCTGTCTCTTTCTCTCTGTTCTCCTTCTCACTGTCTAACCTAGAAGGCTTTTAATTCGGTTTCTTGTTTCAATCTTTTCTTTCTTTAATTTTTATCCTTTTCTCATTGTTTGAACCTAGTCATCCGTTACACTCGAACCGTCTACTCCGACGAATTTCTGCAACGCTTCGCTTTATACTTAACTTGTCTCCATGTACATATCTTTAATTGTCTACGCATACCTTTGCCTGCACGAAGAAAAATATTGCACGCGTGATCATCGGTTAACCAATACCTTAGAGAACTAGCGATTATTTGCTCCATCGACGATCATTCCGCCGCGATCGTAGAACATCCGATACTTTTCTTCGTGCTTAGTTGCAGAAATTTCTGTTCGGTCTCTCGAGACCGGTTGCACTAACCGATCGAAGAAAAAAAAATAATAGCAAAAAGTAAATGAAGGGAAAAGAACGACAAAAGATGCAAAGACTACTTTTTTACCTATACTGATCAGTTTCGACTCGGTATTAATGTGATCTGTTTTTCCTTATAGATTTTATGTGGTCCCTGGCAGGATTACCTGATGGTGAGTATGAAATATGCACGAACATGTTCAACAAAACGACTCCAATGCCCGGTGATATGCCTACCGTTCCATAACAACATTCGATCACGTTTGACGTAAGAACATCGTTGTAATATTTACGTGCCAATCAATCATGAAACCAATGGAAATTCTCTATTTGTTACTCGCACGTTACGTTCGAGTCAGAGGTCTCGTGCATGATTCACGTGATCAGGTTACGTTACAGTTCGGATTTTGCAAAAAAATGGTTATCTTCTGGAAATTTTACATCGATGTAATCACTATGCTGCGAATGTTAATGCATTTATCGTGTCACACCCTTGGGACGTAGGTGAAACGAATGTAATTTCCGAGTTGTTGCGAGAATGTTACAGAGACATTCTCTTGATATAATTTATTATTTCCATCAAATGTATTATACGTATATGTTTGTTTATCTTTGTATATTTACATTTATGTTACATCGTATGGTTGTATATTTAATATAAATATTTAACATAAATGTAAGTATATGAAGATAGATAAATACGTCATATACTTATATAACACAATTTGTATAAATAATAATTTATAAGATTTATATTACAGTATATTAATATTAAATATTTATTATATTCAGTAGGAAAAAGCTTTTAACACATTATCTCCTCTTTCTTGATTTAATTTAACTCTAATTATTAATATAATTTTCGTGGTCATTTTCTTTATTTTTTGTTATTAATTTTATTTTCTTTAGTTTAAAAAATATTTATAGTGATAAATGTTATGCCTTGCTCATTGTATGCATAGTGTGAATATTTACAATTATATGTATGTACATATAAATGTATACATTATGTATGCACTATCATATTACGTACATATGCAATTAAAATTAAATTTGTGTACTTAACATTAATTTAATAAAATGTAAATATTTTCGGAAGCAATTTTTCATTTATTATAAAAAATATATATTTTTGTTGTGTCCACATTTGTCTCAAAGGTGCAATATACTGAAATCCACAGAATTTAAATAAATTATGTAACCTGTGAGAATCGCAGACAATAGTTTACATGATTCATGATCAATTTGTGGTCCTCGATATACCATAAATAGATAAACATATGCAGTATAGTAATTACCTTCTTGTATAATTCAGCGTAGTATTAGAGAGATATTGTGATCGAGACAGAAATGCATTATAGCAGTTGAATTTCAATTAAAGCAATATGATTTAGTTGTTTGAAGAATAATTTTATAGTATTTTCGAATAAATGTATTGTGTGGGGTAATACGGTACGTATATGTTGAAAAAGTACTTTACGCGAGAAAATGTAGATAGTAGATCATAGAGAACTTACATATGGTAGGTGGATATAACATTTTAAGTTCAATGATTTAATCTGTTGAATTTAGGGATTATTTTATGGTAATTAATTTTCTTGCGGTGTGTTAAACAAGTTCTAATTTACATTATTTTGTGCAATGGACGAAATTTTAATGAGTTTAAATTAGAGTAGTGAAAAATTCTCAAATTTGAAAAGTTAACGATTTGGAAATTTGAAAATTTTGAAGTTTTTAGATTTAGAAAATGTAAATTGTAAAATTTGTAAATTTGAGAACACTGGAATTTGGAGAAATGCAGTTTTACGAATTTCGAAGTTCACGAGTTCGGAAATTTAGACATTTGAGAATTTAAAAATTTGGAAATTTATGATTTAAAGATTTGCAAAACTTAGTAGCTTTAATATTTAAATAAAGGGACTCTTGAGAACCTAGGGATTTTATAATATGAAAATTGATATGTTTGAGAAATTTCAGAAATTTTGACAAGATTGCGAAATTTCAGAAATTTAGAAATTTGAGAAAGTTAAGAAATTTTATCAACTTAAAAAACTTAAGAAAACTTAAGAAACTTGAAAAATTTAAAAATGTTGAAATTTAAGTATTCAAAAATATGAGAATTTCAAAATTGAACAAAAGTTTGAGAATTTGATATATGAAATGAAAATTTATTTCAGGAACTTATTTGATACCGTGCAAATATTAGAAGAATGCAAAATAACGAGCAATAATATTTCTAATTAATCTTAAAACCTTTAGACACACGAAATGAACGATGTAAAATTACATAATAACCAATTATCCATTTTTTGCTCAATGAAATTAGAAAAAGAGTTAGTAATTAGTAACAGAATTAATTCAAAGTAATTATACCCTAAGTACCATGACAATTCACCGTTTAACATTGTATAGTCCTTCCTCAAAATTCAAAGTTGGTGTCATTTATGCAGGGATTGAAAAAATTAAAAAGTGTCTATTTTGTACTATTTATTGGTTTTGACGCAAACAGTCTTGAAGAATAAGAAAAGTACATAACTATTATTAGCATTGATTTTTTAAAATATATCTGTAATACAAGTTATGTAATCTAATGTAATAAATTAAGTTCCAAAAAAGAAGATACTTATAAATAAAAAATAGATTATTTATTCAAATAAATTTTCATCTAGAAAAATAATTTAGTAGAATAATTAAAACTATAACTAATTTAGACAATTATCTATCGTATTATAGAAAAAATCGTGTTACATGAAAACAATAGTTTCAATATCTTTGTCAAGTTATAAAAATTTGTATAAACTCGTATTACACAAGACTCTACTGTATACCATAAATGCACAAATGTTCGCAGTCAACTAATGACAATTAGAATGAATAATTAAGAATGAATAACATTCACAAATAGGAGTTGCAAACAAAATTAACTAATAACAATTATAAACTGAGCAACATTGCTAATAACATTTACAAGCCTGAACAAAATGAACTAATAACACTTACGAGCCTGAACAAAATGAACTAATAACAATTACAAACGCGAACAAAATTAACTAATTTTCAACATTACTAATAACAGTTATGGACATGAAGAAAATTAACTAATAACAGTTGTGAAATTTATAGTTTTGGTTTTAATATAAAATCTGAAGAGCTACTTTTCTCCATGAGATCTCATTGCGATTACATATATGTCTTTCTTCGTTAGTTCTATCAATCAAAAACACTGAAGGAAGACATACGATTACCATGAGATCATCTAGAAAAAAGTCATTCGTGTGCACCAGATAATTGAACTGAGAGCAATATAATAATTATTTTCAATCCTTGCGCTAATACGATAAATAGAAACTGACATAACCTTTAATTTTGTTCGCAGGTTTCCCAGCGGCGGCGTACACGGCATACGCGGCAAGCCGCGGCTATTCTGGGTACCCTAGTTTCGGACTGCCCTACCCGACAGGTAACCACCTTAGCCTTAACCACCTTAACCACCATAATGCGGCCCACATCGCGCCCTTGAACCTGAACTTGAACCTTATACAGGCGCAGCCTGCACCCCATCATAATCCACCAACCCCCACACCGCTCTTTTACCATCCCAATTTGGACCTCTACAACGCCATGCCTCTGTGAACTAACTAATTATGTATCAATAACAACTCGACTCGAGCTATGCGCACACTCTAACCCCATTGCTACACCAACTAACTGTGCTCTCGCTGTCGCTACTCGTCGCCGCCTTTGTCGTCGTTCTAACACGAATCGATCGTGGCTGTCGAACGATCAGTCTCGATTGATTTCACGGGAAATTAGGCCTGATTCGAGGCAACGAGTGAACTCTGATCCTGTGCAGCGCAAGGATCTCTGGACTGACATCTCTTACGAGACTTTCGAGATCCTTCGGGTCTCCGAGACATAGAAATGTTTGAATATCCAAGATCGAGGATCCTTAAGATACGAGTGAGGCTGTATTTACGGGAATATTCGTTTGTGCAAAGATCGAACCACATCCGTTCGTTTCTGATCTACGATCCTTGTCTCTTGGGAGTGCAAAGGCACGCAAATTGTTGGAAAGCAGTTTTCGTGACGGACTTCTTTTTCCGGACAATAATCGGGAATAAGTTATTACGCGACGTCACGGATTGACGTTCCTTAAGAACGATTGTGCTTGCGCGCTTTATGTCCTCTACGGAGGATACTGTACATTATTGAGCAGTGTCTGCTCAAGCTCTGACGATCGGGCGACTTACGAAGCTACGAGCCTAGCTCGATACGAAGGGGATGGTGAACATTGTACAAAATCGTATAAGTTATCGTATCGATATAATCTTGTCGAGTTTAAGATTTAAGGGTAGCGATAAGAAAATATTGACCTCCTCGAACTTTCTACCCTGTTCCGTGTTTGCTCATCGTTTCAGGCATATTTAACAAGCGATCGATTCGATTCGACGTGCTGGATAAAACGCGATGAGGTTCACGCGCGAGTTATTGCTTTTTATCGTTTGAGCTGTTCGTGGACAATGATCGTGAACGATATTCGCGTTTGTAGAAATAAAAATTAAACTAAGATATTGAAGGTCTAGATTTATAATTTTGTTGTAGGGTGTCTTTCAAAACTGCACACTTTCAAAAGCTAATCTGTTATTTTGAAACTTGATCAACGTTTGTGGACGAATTTTGTAAACTCGTGATTTGTGATGGATTTTGAAAGAACTCTGATTAGATTTTGAAAGTGAACGTGAGTGAACCTAATATTTTGAACAAAATGACTGCTTTAAAGATGATACGATGCATCAAATAAAAAGAATATATTATGGCAATAATGCGAGTATGCAAAACGAAACTTGAAGAATTAAATAATCATATCTATAGCAAACGATTAAATACACCAATACACATTGCGAGTTAACTATGAAAAAGTATACGAACGTACTAAATTGAATATTCACATTCCAATTTTAGATGCAAAGAAAGGTATCATTATCTTCATTAAAATTTAAAGGCTTTGAACGAATGTGTGAAGTCGGTATATGTACAGTCACGTTCTCTAAATGTGTTCATTTATCATTTAACGATCTAAGTCCACTGTTACAACATTGTTCTCGATTCTGGGTGTATAGCTGGCTGCTTTATACATCTAACCCTTTCATTATTGTCCATAAGAGTTTTGTCAAGGAAGAATGGAACTCGTTCACTTTGTGAGAACTTTTGTTCGATAAATTGGATCGATTATTGAAATTAGAAATCTTTTATTACGGTTGTATTTATAGTGTACATACAATGTTTGTCTGTTTTATAAGAGTTATTTGAGTATTTGTACACAATATAAACTGTAATTAATTTTAGATATCTTATTTCGGTCTTTTTTATTTATTTTCTGTTTGTAATAAACTGTACCAATGTCAATGGTACAAAATCATTTAATACAGCACAGGTTATATTAGGTTATCAGAGGTGTGTTATTTTGTCATATTGGAGGCGATTTCAAGAATTAATTTTCTTAAAATTATATCGTTTCGTTTGAAGTTATAATCAGAATATACAATTCGAAAATTCGGGAAGAGGATTTCTGTGATTTTTGTTACTACAAATCAAAGAATATGAGAAATAACAAACTTAACAAGTAGTTAAATTTAAATTTTGGTTCGGAACAGTTCTTTTCTATTAACCCTTCCAATATGTCAATATGGGTGGCTATAGAAGCAAAAGTAATGAGTCACAAAATTTTTGATTAATTTTGTAAATAAAATTATTTTATTCACGTTTGGACATCGAAATGAATAATTTAATGTTTAGACATACAAGAACAGTTTTCAGTCAAAATACTACAATAGTAAGTAATTATAGTCACCCTCAACAACAACAAAGGAAATCAAATGCAGTTACTCATAAATGTATCGACACCTCATATGTCTCACATGTTTTACATGATGAAAGCAGCTTTACTTTTTATAAAACTTTAATGTGCCATATTTTTTAGTAAGATAAATTATGAAATCATAAATATTATAGGTAAACAATAATGTTTAATTTTATCTTTAGTTTTCATTTAAACATACACAATCTATTGTCATTATAAACAATTCACTTAATTAATGCTGCAGCAAAAATTATATTAATATAACCCTTGATTAATTTTTTTCGAAATTGGACGAATTTGATTACGAAATGGTATACAGTTTATTTACAATATATTGTTACATTTGGAAATAGGAGAAGAACAAAAATATATGACAAATTCAATATTTTGCATAAATATTTATAAAACATTTAATAACATTTATTTATTCCATCAATACACATTTTCATTTTATAAATGCTTTTAATAAATTTACAGATTTTCACAACTTCAATAATTTTTCGATTTCCTCGTTTGTTAATTACGTTGTTCTAATTTTACATTTTATTGTTACACTTATTCTAATAGATGGTACAACAAAATTTTCGTCTCCTTGAATTTTTTTTGGTTTAAGTAAGAAAACAATTTATTATCTGCCCACATCACTGCTTCTTTCGTTTCTATAAATTATTTTAAAATAATAACTGTATCTTAGTATACAAATTATTTGTTACTGAATTGCTATCCCAAATATAAATTATAAATGTAAGTACAAGGAAAAGAAGAATGTAAATAAATAAAAATCCTAATAATATTATTTCTCTGAATACCAACAATTTTTCAAACAATCTGTACAAAACTTACCAATCGAATATACCTTAATACAGGTTTTCACGAAATTTAACCAAAGCTGCTAATTCGATACGGCTCGCAATAAATAACTCTTGTATTTTCAGAAAATCCTCTTCCTTCTTGAGCTCCGGTCTTCCCTTTACTTGATCACCTATGTAGAATATTTTTAACAATGGCATTGATAGACGACATGTAGATTAGATCGTTTTGAATTTCAGCTCTCATTATAAATATCGGTATCTATTGTTGGATATAATAACATGTAAGCTGTCTATAATTCAGTTTATAAAATTAGGTTTACGTGATAGTCACCAGACTACTGCATTGCACTTTTTACTTCAAAATAGTTCTCGGGGGAAACTACTTGAACTACCAGTGTCAATACTGTATTATGATATCAATGAGATATGTACACAAGAACTTTCTCATATATGTAAGAATAGAATTTTATAAACTATCCTTCCTTTATTAAGAGAATGCAACAGAGAACACAACAAGAACAAATAATGATTAACGTATTCAACTATAAATTATAAATCGTAAATCGTAAAGTCAAATAATTCGTATTTTGCCGTTTCATCACGTTATGTTCGTTCAAATCCCGTGTTTATACTAAATCCCTATCATTACTTTTTTCCCAATCGCCAGTAACCAATTCACATAGCATTTCACGCTTTAACATTCATGACCTATTTCATACATTATTTACACAACCTATTTCACATTGTTCCTTTCATTAAGTCAACATTCATACACACAGTCATACACGCAGTTTAGCAGTGGTTGCCATTTTATATATGTACATTCTACATTCCTACATACGAGGTCTGTCCCAAAAGTATCCGACCTTCCTTCATATTTCCCTGCTGGTGTTATCCTAAGTCTTCGGGCTGGTGGCATCCTTCGAAGTAGTCTTCATTTGATTGTATAATATGCTGCCAACGACCTTTTCACGTATGGAAACAGTCCTGGAAGTCGTTTTTCGAAATAGCCTTTAGAGCGTTCGTCGTATTAGTTTCGATCGTTTCTTTATCGTCGAATCGGTGTCCTTTGAGTGGCATTTTCAATCTTGAAAGCAACCAAAAATCGCAGGGAGCTACATCAGGACTGTACGGAGATTGACGGAGCTGTATGACTTTGTGCTTCGTCAAATATTGTTGCACAAGATTCGATGCATGCGCTGGTGCGTTATCGTGATGAAGAAGCCAATCACCGCTTGACCAAAACTGAGGCCAAAACTAGTTTTCGGTATTGCAAGATCACATTCTAGTTCTCGCACAGTCAATCGACGATTTTTGTTGATCGCAAGTCGCACACGTTCGATATTATTAGGTCTTGTTGTCGTGGAAGGCCGCCCAGAGCGTAGGTTATTATCAACAGATGTGCGGCCATCTTTGAACCGCTTATACCACTCTTTGATTTGTGTGTTCCTCATATACTCATCCCCAAATGCCTTCTTCATCATATCGATGGTTTCCGCACAAATTTTTTCAAGTTTTAAGGAAAATTTGATGCAAATTCGTTGCTCCGATCTTTCCTTCATTTTTCACAACAGCAGAATGCGACGAACGTAAAAAACGCTTCGTAAAGAAATGCACGTTGCACATGAACTAAGGCGTCCCGACGAAAACTGCGATATCGTGGGAGTTCGTAAAGCTTTACAGTTGATACTCATACCCGGCAAATGACGCTAAAATTGTCAGGTGCGAAGAAATTAAAGAAGGTCGGATACTTTTGGGACAGACCTCGTATGTACCTTGAAAGTATAT